AACCACCCCCACACAGCAAACAGAAAAGAGATACTGCCTCCAAACAGCTTTCCCAGCAGGTACACGATTTCACATCACCACCACAGAGGGTCTTGGTGCAAAATTTGGTCAGTACTTGGTGTTGTTAGTATTCTTATTGTGCTAACTTTTAAGAATCTCAAGAGTATTCCATGGTAAACTGCTTCTTGAGATTATAGACGAATTTACTATGAGCCCTGATTTGGATACATTTATCTGAATCTTTCTTAACTTCACTGTTGAATCTATTCCCATACCTCAAATACTGTCAGTAGTCATATCAGTAAGAATAAGGAGTTAAATAATTAAAACCTCCTATGTGATGTTTGTGTAGAAATAGCTGAATCACAAGAAAAGTAACTCTCCTAAGAATCTGTTTTTAGAAGATAAAGGGTCTTTAAGAGTTGATAAGTAAGTAGGCCTTTAAAAGACATTTTGGGGTATCAAATGCTTGTGGAATCTTAGGAAATTCTTCCTTCCTATAACTGAAGCTATGCTGACATTGTTTATTCCACTAAAAGTTCAACAGCAAATCTAAACAGTAAGAAACTCTGTCTAAAGCCTGCATTATAACAGCAGAAACCAAAACACAACTGTGAAATTGCCCTTTTCACACTTGTAAGAGTGTGCTTTTTGGATTTTGTGATTACTTTGTCCTGAGAAAGCATAAAACACATTCAGATTATAAAGTTACTGTGACTGACAACTGATTTGCCTGAAGAGCTCAGTTTGCAATTTCTAACAAACTACACCTGATAAAAAATTCAGCCCATGTCAACTTTGGAAAAAAGTATCCCAGTTTACCTCATTCAGTTGGCATTGTACAAAAATTAACAGCCATATTGTTATAGAAATGTTGAACTTAATTTTTTTTCCATTTGTACAGGGGTAACGCACTGTATTAAATATGTAAGGTCTTAAAAAAAAAAAAGAAGGGATTTTGAGAGTCGATCCCATGTGAAGGGATGCTCTCTTGACCTGGACACATGGGGAAGGGCCTAGGCCTGGCCCAGGATGATGTGGTAGACTTTGGGGAGCCCCATTTGAGGGCCTTACCCTGCCTGGGGAGTGGAGGGGGGATGTTGTTCAGGAAAAAAATTTCAGCCCAGTTCTTCACGGAGCTATGGCTATGGCTATGAAGTACACAGCTTTCAGTTATTGTCAGCTATATCAAGGACATGTACCGGCAACAGATAACATTTGGACATGTGTTCCATGTGCATCTCCTAAGATTTCCCTGAGTTCCTAATAACACTTGGAGTTGGTTAATATATAGTACCTATAAAATCCACTATGAAACTCACTATTGAAGATCAACTCAAGGGGAGATAGGTTTAAGATACACTTAAGCACAATAATTAAAGGAAGATGCATTAACTCAGTTACATAATATTGTAAAACAGTAATTTTGCAAAACAAATTTGTGAGTGATTTGTAGTAAAATACAGTAACTAATATTTTATGATATCCCATTGAATTAAATTACTTCCAGTAATAAGTTCCCACTTACTATGGGAAATATAGAACTATGGCAATAATGGAAAACTAACTTTGGAATTTAATGGATGCAATGTCTTGGTTTCTGTTCTTTGTCTTTTCCACTTCTCATATACTGTTACAAAATCTGAATTACTAAACAGATAGGTATATCTTCTAAACTGGGAGAGAGGGATGGAGAGAAAGACGGGGAAGGAGGAGAATGGAGGAAGGGTGGGGGGTAAGGGATGGTCAGGAAGGCCGTTTTGTTGAATTAGTCCTTGAATTAAGAAATCAGAGACAAGAATTGGGACAGAGGGGAAGTAGGTTTGATGGACGGCTCATCTTTTAGCCAGAGAAAGTCAGGAGAAGTAACAGGAGTGGAACACACAGGGTTTTGAGAGACAACTTAAGAATTTTGGTGTTTTAATAAAACACCAAATAATAGGGAAAGCTATTACAGGGTTTAAGCCTGGGGTTTACTTGATGTGCAAGCTAATTAGGAAGCCGCAGTCATTACAGGCAGAGAAGAGAGATGGGTGTTAGTGGGGTTACTGGAAAAAGTCCTGGGACAGACAAAATTAGATAAGTTCTGGAATAAAGTCAGGAAGAATAAATCCTGAAATAAAATTTCAGGACATGCACAGTATTAGATATGGAGCATGAGGAAGAGGGAGATGTAAAGTGTGACTAGCTTACACAGCTGGAGAGACGGATGTTGCCCCTCAGAATGAGAAGGCCAGCCTATCTCCTAAAATGAATTTGACATAAGCCTCCACGCAGGACTCATTTCCCCAGTCTCAACCTGAAGTTACAAGAGGTCAAAACTGCTCCAAATGTGTGGTGGACAATGAGATCATTGCTTTGATGATACCCACACCTGGAGATGCTATAATTGCTTATTTTAAAAAGAATGATGCTGGAGTAGGCTGTAAGGCTTCAGTGAGCACAAGAAAGAGCCATATGAGGACAGAATGAGCATGAAAAATAAATTGCTTGGTGCTCAGGAGCCCAAAGAAACAATGAGTTGACTTTACTACAAGTTTGGGAAATGAAAAAGTCCTATGAAGTGACAGTCTGCCACTTTGGATGCCTCAGAGAAGTATTCAAGTTATTATTCTTGGAAATGCATGCATTTGTTTTATCACTGGGCCATTTGAACCAGTAACTGTTAATTAAAGCCAACTGTGAAGCGCAATTATAAATTTCAGATACATATAGAAAATAGATGGCAGAGTAGAGATACAGACAGGCCATGGTCAGAGACAAGCTTCTAAAGAGCACGACTGAGTTCAAAAGAATGGCAGAAGAAAACCTTACTCAGAAATAGATATGAGATTTTCTTTCATTAAGATTCATGGTACTAACCATTTCTGACAAATACATAACTTAAATAAGACATGGCTAAAACACATGGATGCTAATTTTAGCCTCAAGCCTAAGGCTTATCAACTGTATGGTGAATATACTTTTCTTTCCCTTAGCAAGACCTATTGAAAGGGGTTTTGTATTTTGCCCATTGAATACCTGTAGTTTTCAATTCTTCTCCTGATTGTAAAGGCATGGCCTGGGTTTTATTAATGGCTAACCTCAATTGTCAGATTTTTAGATTGAGAATCTATTTCCTAGCAGATTCATAAATATCTCTCTCTGTGTGTGTCTGTGAAGGAACGTGTATGGAGATGAAAGCATGAACTCTGACCTAATGAGTGACCCAATGGATTCATACTATGAGGACATTATTGGGAAGTGGTGGAAGATGGAAGAAGTGTTCTGGGTTCTCTCTCTCTGATTCCTGTGTGTCATGATATGAGCTGCCATGCTCCCATGACCATCATGGATGGGACTCTCAGAAAACATAAGTAAAATAAACCTTCATTCCTTGAGTTATTTCTGCCAGTTATCATTGTCAGGACGATAAAAAGTTGAATATGGGTTCCATGTAGAAACTTGGTTGTATTTTGGAAAATGCAAGAAAATTCTGAACTATGATATGTTTCTGAAATACAGTGCAGGCTCTGACTAGTGAGTATGTCGTAAATTAGCAAACACAGCTACCGAAGAACTCATGCAAGGAGCTTATTGGAACTGGCATTAGATAGTGTTCTGTTAACTTGACACAAACTAGAGTTATATGAGAAGGGGAACCCTCAGCTGAGAAAATGCTCCCATTAGGCTGGCCTCCAGGCAAACCAGGAGTCTATTTTCTGGATTCATGATTGACATGGGAGGGCCCAGCCCACTCAGGGCAGTGCCACTCTTAGACAGGTGGTCTTGGGTTGTGCAAGGCAGCAGGCTAACCAAGCCTTAAGGAATTAGTCAGTAAGCAGTGTTTATCCATGGCTTATGTTTCAGTTCCTGCCTCCAGCCATTTTCCTGCCTTGAGTTTCTACCCCAACTTCCTTTAAAGATGCAGTGTGATTTGAGAGTTGTAGATGAAATAAACTTGTTGCTTTTAGTCAGCATTTTATCAGGACACTAGAAAAGTAATACAGTACCCGTTAGAAATGACTGTGGGAAAATTGTCTCGGTATTCTATAGACATTGCAAGATTTTGCAGAAACACGGCACAGATCTATACAATGTTAAAGATGGGAACAAATTCATCTTCTTATTGATCCCAGCTAGAAAGGCAGGTCTGTGGATTGTGCCTGGCTCTTCAGTTTTAAGTTTCTTTTGTCCAACTGCCTCCTAGATTTTTGCAATGTTTTGGTAATTTTTTTGTTACTGTTTTCAGGCAGGATCTCATTCTATAGCCCAGACTGGCATGGTACTCACTATGTAGGCCAGGCTAGCCTAAACCTGAAGTCAAGGTGAGTCTTGAACTCTGAGGAACACACTCACCTCAGGCTCAAGTGCTGGGATTGTAGGCATGGCAACCACTATTGGCTCAATTTCTCTTGAACGGAGATTCTGCTACCTTTGCCAAGAGACTTTACCCTTTGAGGCATAGTTTCTGCATTTACAGCTCTAAAATGGTGTTATTTTTTCCTAAAAAAAAATCATTCAGAAGATATACTTAGAATATTTGTAAATATGTGGAATGTTGAAATAATGTCTATCAATATTAGCTGTCTTATAGTGTCATGACTTTCATAAAATAAACTAAGTACTTCCACCTAGTGGGCTCTCCCAGGGGTTTTTACATGGGCTGAAGATCCAAGCCATATTAGATTTAATAAGAAGAACTTTCTTCTTCTTATTCCCCAAATCTAACTGCCATGCTTTGACACCACTTTTGTTTATATTTGTGTGCCCTGTCAATCACTACACATTCAACACTGCTTAAAGATGTAATTCTCTGCTTCTCAGCCACTGTGTTTGTTTTTTAATTATCTCTCCTATCCCAGCCTCTCTGAACATGATTGCATAGCCAACAGCTGCCACACTCATCTTCCATTGAGAAGCCCTGACTCATACCACACCCCTGCTTCCATCCATCAGCCCTGAGTCATACCACACCCCTGCTTCCATTGAGAAGCCCTGAGTCATACCACATGCCTGCTGACAAGCTTTCAGGGGGTTCTATTTCTATCGAAGAAAGACAGCACCAAAAGGCGTCCATGGTCTTGTCCTCACATCACCTCTACCAGTTTGATCTCTCATGTCATGCTTGAGCCCAGACACAAGGTTTCTCCTAGCCAAACTGGCCAGCCCATCCATCAAGGACTGCTTGTGTGCTCCTGTCCTATTGCATACTCAGCCTGTTTCTCCACATGTGAGGTCCATCCTCTTCCCAGCCTTCTCACTACTTGGCATTCACTATACCACTTCCCTCAGAAGTGTTTCTAAGAGGTAAGACTTTTTTGAAAGAAAAATCATTTATAATTCCATTTCCTACATTTTTTTCCACATAGGGCTTTGCATTTGAATCTCTCCCTCTCTCCCTTCTTTCCTTCCTTCCTTCCTTCCTTCCTTCCTTCCTTCCTTCCTTCCTTCCTTCCTTCCTAACATATACATCCTAGATTGTCATCTCACTAACAACAAAGACTCTGTTTGGTTCTTTCTGGAGATTTTTCCATATCAGTGCCAGATCCTGAAAGAAAAAAACATGTTATGGGGTGAGGGAGAAGGTGCAACAGATGAAGACTTACTGGCAGGCAGCAGGGATGGGGACTAGTGTCCAGATAAGTCATGTAAATGCTACATATAGAGTGTAGCCAGTGCTCAAAATGTAGAGATGGGCGCCCCAGAGCAAGATACCTTGGGAGACTACCCTTCCTGGTGACCACTGAGCATCAATTGATAGAGCCTGACTCAATGAATGAGTCAAGAAATGGCCAAGAAAAACTCTTAGCATCAACCTCCAACCTATAGAAACACACACACATACATGTGCAGCTACATCACTGAAAGCCCATCCCAACATGTGCAAGAGCTCATGAAGGCTGGAATCCTGGAGTTCTTTGCTCTAGTGCAGTGCTCAGTTAGCTCCATAGGTCAGAGTCTCCTCGTCATCCCTCACTGCTTGCATGACCTTGGTGAGGAAGGGCCTTGTGCATGTGGTAGTAACTTGCTGCAACAAATTGCCTCCTTTTAGATCTTCCTGAGTTTCTTGTTGTCGTTTAGATTTGTTTTTATTCATACTTGTGTGTGTGTGTGCTATGTGTGTTCCATGTCAAAGGATGACATAACCCATGGTGCAAGTTACAGGTAGTTGTAAGCTGCCCACTGTGGATGCTGGGAACTGAACTCAGGTCCTCTGGAAGGCAGGAAAGTGATCTTAACTTCTGAGCCACCTCCAGCCCTGAGGACTGCCTGGGTCTGGATGAGCTTCCCTCCAGGGTGAACACACCCATACACACATGAACATGCATACACACAGAAACACCACACACATACACATGTATATAAACATGCATATACACAGAAACACCACACACACACACACCCCAAAAAGAAAAAGTTTTACTTGATACATGAGTAAAAATCTATATATTGTAACTATTTTGTGATTTGCAAATTTAATTCACATACCCATTTTGTCTCCCTTCATCTTACCTTTTACAGAGAAGATGGCTCTATCTAGGGGACTCTATTATACTGAAAGTGCTGCACCTGTCTCAGAAACACTTCAGCACTTGACACAACCCAAGGTTGGCAGACATACCAGCATATCTTGATGCCACAAGATTGGATAAGCAGAGAGTTTCCAGCTCTTTGACCTGGCTGCCATGACTGCAACTCAGAGGAGACTTTTTTTCGGCAGTCCTCATAGGTACACTGTGACTTCTCGTTTCCGAGCACGTTACTGATTCTTAATTTATACTTGACACTTCCCTTGTAATATGGGAGTGTGTGCTGCCTCTAAAAAGGTGAGGGCAGTGACTTGTCCAGGTCCTGAAGGGAGGCAGGAGTAGAATGTGTATCGTAGGCAGTTTCACTTCACCATCAGTCTGAATTCCACACGCTCATTCTGAAAATGCCCTGACTTTGGGGAATGCTTGCTAATCCATACACATCCCCAATTCTAGCTTGCAAACAGGTTTCAGTTCAGCGATTTCTTCTTGAAATGTGTGTTCTCCCTCATGCTCTAGGTCTTAACACAGGTCTTGTTGTGGTTCCTAGAGTGGACTGGAGTGCCTGTAACAAAGTACTCTTGTGATCTCCACATTCTTAATAGCTGTAACTAACAGCATCAACTGTGGCTAAATTTTTTCTTTTAAATAATTTGAGTTCTTAATCTTTCTCCTCTATTTGCAGGAAATTTGCACATACTAGAATGGAGCCATTGCAGACTACAATGAAGTCACAGTATTCTTTTCACATACATATGTGCCCTGTAGCCTATGAGTGTTTTCAAAGCCTTTTCCTTTTTTCATATATGCTAAATAATTAGAACTATGTTCTGTATGTGCTTTGCATATTCTTCAGACCTCCTATCTCATTCACACTGAGAATGTACATGCTTCTAATGTCCCCAGAGCCCTGCATAGTCTATAATAACATATTTCTCATGTTATCATAGACAAAGCTCCTCTAATTTATATTAGTTTTCTCTCCCTCTTCCTCTCCCCCCTCCTCCCTCTTGCCTCTCCTCCTTCCATGTCACTTATCTTCCTTACTTTTAGGTTTATAGCACTGGGGATCTGAATGTACTAATTTCTCTTTAAAATTAATTTCTGTATATATTCTAACATGGACAGACATCCCAGGGGATATTGTTTAAAAATGTATATTGATTTAGTAGATCTAGTGTAGGGTCTAAGATCCTGCATTCCCAACCAACTGCTAGACTGCATCAATGTGCTCTGATTGGTGAGTGACTAGATAATTTATCTACATTAAGAGAGAAGAGCCTTGATCTGTTTTTAGTTTTTTTCTTAACCACTGTGTTCTGTGTTCTCAGTGCTTAGATTATGTCTGCTACATAGTAGTTGCTCAATTAGCAATCAAAGATAAAGGAATGCATACATTTTACTTAAATAGAGAGAAACACAAAATGGCTTGCTTGTTACATATGGTTTTCAGTGGCTGACTTTGCAGAGACAATCTGGGGAAATCAATGAACTTCTCTGAGCCCCAATTTCCTGATTTGCACAAAGAGTTCTACATATCATCTTTTAGGTCCATTGTACCTTAAAGCATATGACTCAGTGAGTTCATAGGAATCAGAAATACAAGTGTTTTCCAACCAGCTGAAAAGCAAAACAATTGTGCAACTATGACAGAGGCTCTAGCCTTTGTCTGAAAAGCTACTTCTCTTACTTTTCCATGGCTTTTCCAGCTTGTTGGCCTGGCTGCTATGGATGCAACTGCGAGAAGGAGACTTTAGCAGTCCTCACAACTATACCATGACTTCTGATTTTCAAAGCACATCCTGGCCCTTAATTTATACTTATCTCTTCCCTTGCTATTTGGGTCCCTCCCTGTTCTCAATGATCTCTCCTTAAAAGCCATGGACATGTGTTTTTCAAAACAGTTGGGTGCTGACAGTTAAAAAGAAAGAAAGCAAGCTGCTAGGCCATATTCAAAGTCATGAAGGATCACAGGCAAGCTGACAGAATAGCCAGTGAGATTTCTGACATGAGTGGGAAGTTACTGGGGAGAACAAGGGGGCAAGACACTGCTTAAAATGAACCAGAGTGCCTGTCCACTTTGCCAGCCAACTACCAAGCTTCCTGCTGACCTCTGATTTTACATCTTGCTGGCTGAAGCTCAGAGTTCTGCCCTTTCTCCATAGGCAAAAGATACCAGGTGCCTGAGGCCCTAGGAGACTGTATTGTCTCTAAGTTCAAATCTTTGAAAGAACAGGTCATGGAACCACAGGAGTCCAGAGACCTATTCATTTCTAGGCCATTTACTTAGCTATTTGGAGAGAGCACAGCTTGGCAGAGGGAGAAGAAGAGCACCATTTGAGGCTGCTGGATGAGTGAAGTAAACGGCCCTGTGAATTGAGGGAGCCTTCTGGGATCCTGCTCACATTGCAGGCTCAGTCTATTCACAGTTGTACCTCTGATTGGGAGGAAAATCACTCACAGCTGGGAAATGAAGACACATCTGTGTCCTGTATGAGCTGAAGCCACCTCATTCCTTGTTGTTTGTTCCAAATTGTACCACCATTCCAGATCATATGCAAATGAGAAGGGAGAAGTTTGGAAGGAAAGTTACAGCTCTTCGCTCTTTGTAGCATCTGGATTGGGATACTGAAGGTGAGTACTGACGCATTTATCCTTCCTTTCCTGTGCCAGTCACTGAAGCGAGGAGTGAGTTAGCCATTTTACTTGGCAAATACTCAAAAATAAACATGTTTTTCAAAAGAAAAGTAAATTCTACACACCCCGAGGAGGCCATATCCACCAATCCACACGTCACCATCCCGTCTCCTCCTTTGTTTACTGACTTTCAGGGTCAGCCATCCCATGTGCTTTTATAGAGTGAGAGAGAGAATGGACATGGGGCCTTTTATGTGAACACAATGAGAATGTGGCATATGGTTCTTTCCCACATGCATGTTATCTTGAAGCATTTCCCAGTGCTTAATCCTGTGGTGCCCTAGTAAGACCCTACTCACTGCAAATAGAAGGAACTGTAGGAGACGTGGCAGTGGCTGCCCCTTCTGTCCTTGAAAGGAAGGTTCTGTTTACACTTCTGTCCCTGTGTTTGTGCATATGCCACAGACCAACGTTGCAATGATAATAAAAATAATATGCCTCATTGGGAGTGGTGGAAGAATTATTAAAATAAATAAATACAGGGCATTAGAGCTCCAAGTCATTGGCTTAGAAGAGCTGGGCAAAAGGTTATAATTTCTTGAGTCAAAACCAAGTCCTAACTTCACTAGATCAATCATGGGAGCAACAACACTGCCTTTATTCACTGTCTGTCAACAACGTGGAACAGGTGGGAATGAGTCTCATCATTAATTATACCTGACACAACCTCAACCCTGCCTTGCGTCAATAGGAGTCTGTGAAGAGGTGCTCCAGCGGTTTAGAAACATTTGAAGGGAGATTTAAGACATCAGGTAATGTGAAAGATGGGAGGGCGTGAGCTGTGGTGTGGCTGCTGCAAATAAACTGCCGGAATGATTTGTGTGAAAGGGCATGTCGAGGCAGACAGGGACAAGGGGCAGGCTTTCCAGGCAGAATGAGCCTCTGATCGCTGGCTGACAAAGTGTTTGCTTTTCTGTTTTCTAAATTACGCAGGAAGCTTTCCACATCATGATTTATGGTGGAGTAGGGTTTCAGCCACCTGTGGGCCTCGGAAAACTCTGCAGAAGCAGGATGTTTTCAGAAAAGTCTCTCCACATCAAAAGCTAGAGAGGTGGGGCATTGCTCCATCTTCCAGACAGCATGGCTATGGAGAAAATGAGGGAATGTTAAGTCATAGCTCATTCTTCAAGACCATTGCTAAGTGATGACCTTTTCAGGCCAAGCCTCAAGCCTCATTTTATTGACTATAAGGTGTTCCAGGGACATTTCTTGAAAATCAAATCCTGTTCATAAGCTATGTGACCACTGTCCTGAGTTGAAAACTAAAGTGAACTTCACTTATTCTTTTAATTTACTTTTTAAACTGACACATAAAATCATAGCACTCCTTCATCTCTTTGGGATACTGTGTGATATCTCAATGATGCACACATTGTGGGCCACCTATGTGATGGTAAACACAGACACCTCTCCAAATTTGCCATTTCTTTTTGGGCAACTAAACCAATTGTTATTGTTGTTTAATGGATTATTCACTGATTACTCTGTCAACCATTAGGTTAATGTACGAGATTCAAGGGAGCGAAAGATTGGCTGATGTAACTTCCGACCTCAGGAGTTCTGCCATGATATAGAAGACATTTGCCCCAAGCCCAGTGAAATAAGCATTGAATGTTCTTACTTCTGTTGAATAACAATAGCATTGATGTTCTATTGTCACTTAAATAAGAAAAATGAAAAGAACCATGAATAGAAGGGGGTGAAGAGGGAGGGAGGGAGGAAGGAAGGAGGGAGAAGAAAAGATCTATTTTTTTTTAACACATATTGTCCTAAGTGCTATTAAATACAATAATCTAACAGCAAACACATTTCTTATTCCTTGTCCTCTCAGAGCGGGATGTTGGCTCCTTGGTCCTTTTCAATTCTATGTCCCTTGTATCAGCACTGCATTCGAAATAGTCACTAAATACAAGTGGATGGGATGACTAAAGAATGGTAATGTCCAGCCTTGGAAATGGATTTTAAAGCTTGTTTGAACTGCTTCCAAAAATCAGAGACAAATAATTTTAAATTACTTTCTCCAGAGCCTTGCCATTATCAAGAGCCCATATTCTTATAATTGGTCCCTTTTGCCATATGAATCAAAGAATATGGACAATTTTGGCAATCCTAAATTCCATTACTTCCATGGCTGTGATGAAAAAAAGGGGGTGTGGTGAAAATATTCGACGACTTTTTAAAGATGTGTTAATTGACATATTGTAAAACTGAAAACAAGAACGGAAACTTTAGCAGAGCCTCTATTCATTATTTCATTTGCAGTTCACCAACAGGGACAATCACAGTTTGATGTCAAAAGTCAGGACTGTTTGACATCATTGACATTAAAGACTCATATATCAAAGGAACACAGTAGAAAGAAAGTAAACTAATGTGTCCTGGTGGAGCTGTGGCCACTGTAGCAGGCTCCTGGCATGCTCATGGCAAGTGGGTCTTTTTGAGCATATTCTGTTGTGAGAATCATTGCAAATCATTTGATTTTATACAGTGTATATATCCTAACTGCCCTGACTCTTCGTTTATTAAACACAAGATTAACTGAATCCACAGAATGCCGATCGTTCAATGCAAACAACAGATTCAATTTAACACTTAGACTGGGATAAGAATTTACTTAGCTAGCAAAGACAAATGAGGGTGGGGGTGGGGTGCTACTCAGCAGTCATTAGTTCCTGTTGGCTCAGGGGCACACCAAAGAATTCTATTTCCCTTGCTTCCCCAGCTTCTCTACAATCACACATAAAAGGATGACTATCTGAGCTTGGGACCCCTTGTTTCAGTAGGAAGCAGTTTATATCTTATCTAAATTCCAAACCAAATACTAGTAATTTCCCCCAATTACTAATCTTACACCAAAATACTATTACTGGCAAACTGTAAGCTTCTACCTATGCTCCATTCTCTATTCAGACTGATTTCCATGACAGAAAACTAAACTGGTGGTCCCAGCACAACAGTGGTTCATCTATAGTGCACTATAAATGGCTAAGTGCTATTACTGAGCTCCTGCATCCTACAGCTGGTTGGCCTCTGTACTTGTATCTTGTCCAGATGCTCTGTATCTGTGTGCCATAGGTATGGGTATCTTAGTACCAGTTTTCTGAGAATGCAATTTAGTCCCACATAAAGTCACTGTGAGTGCCCAGATCTGCAGCATTAAGTCATCAAAATTCCTTATGCTATTGTATCACTAAACACTTATGGGCATGGCAATTTCTGGATAAGACTGTACATTTTTCTTTTTAAAGTCCTGAAAAAAACTAAAGATTTTTTTTCTCACATAACTATGTAACATAGCCTTTTCATATTGACAGGACTGACCGGAGAAATGGTAAGGTAAATGGTGAGAGTGATGGAAATAGGCATGTTTGGCAATGGTGTTCAGAATGAAGACTATTTAAACCTAGTGAGAAATAGGGATGGAAGTCTGATGGATAACTGTTGAAGTGGTTGCCAGTTCTGAGACATCTTAAGAAACTTCTCTTGGGCTTAAAAGAAGTTCCGAGTTTTGTGCACTCGGTGTTAGTGAAGATGTGTTTGCTTCTGTACACAACTGTCTATAAAGGAAGGGAAGGACATCACATATGTTTGCAGAAATGGTGCCTGCTCTACCTGGCTGACCCCTCCCTGTGTTATGGTCAACATAAAATTCAAATGTTCCTTATTGTGATGATAGCCTATGTTTAAAGATGGCTATCTTCAAATTTTCCTCTCTGTATTGCACAGCACTCTGGCACCCAGAGAAGGTCTGTGCTGAGTCCTTGAATGTGATAAAAAAAAGATGCTCTCAAACTCCAGATCCAATGGCTAAGAGTCTGCCACTCTCTGCCCCTTTCTTCTTAGAGTACCAATTTGTCAGACAGGATACTCTGCTATCCAGAGAGGTTTCAGCAAGAGCACTGAGGCACCAGGCACAGAAGTGATCATGTGAGATGCCTGACTCTGCTAAACCTTGCAGAGTACTTTAGTTGCTACCACCATCTCACTGTGGTTTTGGAGGAGACTCTAAACGAGAACTCAGCAGAGCCCAGCCAACCTATAAGGTTTGTACCTAGCCCTCTTGGTTGAATATAAACAAAATTGATATCAATGTAGGAGGAGAGTAGAATAGATACACTGATAGACTTCAGAATTTGCAAACCAAATCCACAAAGTCTTCCTAAAATACTCAAGAGAGAGGATTCCCCACATTTCATTCTGTAAATCCATGAACTATCTTTTACTTAGAAACACTTTTGTATAGTTAGTAGGGTTTAATTATTATATATTATATTAGCCACCAGGGAGAGGAAGACTTCACAACACACACACACACACACACACACACACACACACAGAGAGAGAGAGAGAGAGAGAGAGAGAGAGAAAGAGAGAGAGAGAGAGAGATTTGAGGAGATGGGCATGACAGTGAACCTCAGATGACTACTGTACATTATTTCCATGTATTCCAATGTCACATGGTACCTAAAAATATACATAATTATTATGTGTTAGACAGAAAACACTTTTAAAAAGAAGCCAGCTAGTTCTGTGCTTCAGTAGGAAAAATAATAGTCACAAATTAACTATAAACCAATCTAACAGCTTTTCAAAGATGTGAAAATTAGAAAAAGAAATCCCATGAGTCGACTATCTTTCCATTCCTGCTATTGGTAGTTCCTCATTATATTTTTCTCTGATCATGAACACTCTATTTTACACCCTTAAAATTATAATCGAAGGAGGGCCTGATTTACTGGCATCTGGAACTTGCATAATTACAGAAGAAAAAACCCACAGCAATATAAAATCAAAATTTCCCTAAATGAATGAAAAATTAAAACGTCCAATAATATTATGAAATGAAATGTATCCACCCTGATGGCCTTTGAAGACCTGTGTAGTGAGCAGCCTGTGACTGCAGCTTCACTGGCTTCATGGCAAATCTGCCAGGAGCCACAACATGTATAACAATTTACATCCAATTTAATTACAGAAAATAGTTTTCTAGGTTGGACCCTGAAAGGCTGTGAATTTTAAAGATGATCCATTCTCTGTGGGATGACTATACTGTAATTGCCCTTGGAAGTCTTGACATTTGGGGATGGATAAGTCCTTGCTGTGGGGCACTGTCTTCTGTGAATTATCCCCTCAGCATTGGTAAAAAATTTTCTCACTTCAAGAAAAAAATAGCCCCAATCAATGAACCTTCTCTGATTCTTTATATTATTCTCTTCTTTATCATTATAACTAAAACATATTTAAACTGCAGATGATTTTATTAAAAATTTCCCCAACATAAACATAATTTCTATGTTAAAGGGAATAACATTTGCATGGCTTTTGCATGTACATCTAACTTTTCTTTCCCAAAAGTCATTATAAATACACAGTATCCCATCTGACTACAGATGTGGGTATATTTACTACATTATGGTGGAATATAAAATTAATGAACAGTATAATAAAATCATGTCCCATCAATATAACAAATTAGGATAACTTAAAGCATAAAATGGTTAGCAATAAATCTGGATGGACACAATCCTTTTCTAAAAAATATAGTTCTAATGGTTTCATTTTGGAAAAGAAATGCTCTATTGTATGCAACAGGAGAAGGGATGGAGGACGTGCCGGGAGCCCCTGACCTTTCTGTCCATATGGCTTAGCTCTTCACAGGCCAGATCTCTATTTGAATGCAGAAAGCCAGTTGAGAAACTCACTTGTGAGAGGGAGATGGGATTCTTCTTGGTACCCCATGAACATCAGAGCAGACTAACTAGTCTTTGGACCCTTA